GGAACCGCTCGCGGAGCTGGAGACGGACTGCGCGGATCCAAGGGATCAAGACATCAGGGACCTCACCCTTGTTGCGCAAGGGGAAGACCGTGGTGTAACGCGAATAGTTGTCAACAACCAGTAGGAAGTAGCGCTCGCGGTCCTGTCCACTGACGCGGGCTGGGCCCCACACGTCCATGTGGAGAGTCTGCAGGGGAGCAGTCGTCGGGGGAAACGAGGAGGAGTGAGGAGTGGCGCGCTACCGCCCCTCGACGCAAGGAAGGCAGGACGGGGCAGGCAAGGGCAGGAGGGGAGGCAGAGACCTAGGAAGATTAGAGACAAGGAGGCGGGAGTGCATGCCACAAAGGCGTGGCAGGGAGGGGTGACCAAGTCGGCGGTGCCACAGGAGATTCTGGTGTGACAGGAGGCGACACAAGTAGGGGGCTGCCACCGGACCTGACGCGGACACCTGAGCAGACGCAGCTACCTGAGGAGGCTCGATAGTCAGTGTGTACAGACTTGACCCAGGCCGACGGGTGAACGTGGCCAGGTGACTGCCCGTCCGTGCACACGTGCAGATCGACACACGCTGACCCCCAGGAGTGGTGGTAGTGACCATCGCATCCTGGAGGGCAGCGGTACTCACCAAGTTCGTAGAGAACGAGGGGAGGTGAAGACCTGACAGTGAGCCGGACGGAACCGCCGGACACGGGAGAACAGTGGAGGAACGGGCAAGAACTGGGCCCCCTGAGGGGTCAGCCAATCTAACTGGAACAGGTGCAGGGAGTGGAGTGAGGGTGGTAGTGTCGTGAAAGAAACAGCGAGAAGCACCTGAGTCAAGCGTAAAGGTGTGCAAGGCCTCAGCAGGTGCAGTACCAGGGAGAGCAGACTCACTAGCACCTAGAGCAGCAGCCTCTATACCTTGGTCGGGCGGCACACACAGGTAACAGTCACCCTCAGCACTAACAGACAAGGCATACATGGCAGCAAGGATAGCATCATAGTCAAGAGCAAAGATATCAACTCCAGATGTAAGCAGCTCTGACCAGCAGGGGCGCTCACCCTCGTCACCAAACTCTGTGCGCCAAGCATCGTTAAGGCGGGAGAAGCAGCGGTGCTAAGAGTGAAACTTCCCGCATGTCTGACCAGCGCGGTCACCCGTGCGAATGGCATACGGGCAGCGAACACTACCCCGAGATGCCCCACGCTGAGCAAACCAATCACGAAGCTGCTGGAGCGTAGGGGTCTTGCTCCAACGCTGCTGCTGCTGGCTCTGGCTACCGCCAGAACCTCCCCTCTGAACAGCTCCACCCCGACCGCCACCACTGCCGCCGCCACCACTCCCACTGCCGCCACCACCGCCACCCCCACCCCCACCGCTGCCACCATCGCCGCCACCGAAGCCCCCACTCCCGCCACCATTCCCACCACTGCCACCACCTCCGCCACCTCCACCGCCTCCACTGCCTCCACCACCACCACCCCCGCTGCCACCGCCACCACCCTTGCCACCCTTGCCCTTGCTGCTGCGGCGCTTCCCACTAAGAGCAGAAGCAGTCCCGACATCCTCAGCACCAAGGATGTCAACAGCAGCAGCAGAAGCGTAGGAGGAGGCAAGGGGGGAGGAGGAACACCCCTCAAAGAAGGGTGTGCGAGGAGTGCCATGAGCAGCACCTACAACGACTACGCTAGTCTCAGAATGGCCCCTTCTGCAGGATAAGCGTCACAAGCGAATCAGTAGCCAACCGGAACAGAATAGGCCAGACTACCAGGAGTGGTGCGAAAAGGTCAAACAGATGATCCACTTTGCTGTCGTTGAGCGGAGGATCCCCCACGATCCGGCGAGGGGTGCGTTCGTCTTTCCGAACAAGTTCCTCATCGACGATGGCGACCTTGGAGATGTCGTCCTTGCCCACCGGGCGCTTTCAAGGCCTGCCAGTGCGTAGGCTATTTGACCTGGTGCTAAGACTGATTGTAGCTAGTAGAATGCTGAATAATGGTTGTTGTAAACCGCAATAATAAATGCAATTTCAAAAATCCTCAATATCCAAAAAAAAAAAAAAACAGAACTTAGTTTTGAATAATTTGGTCACGAATTTGCAACAAAACGGATTGCGCTCGAATGTCATCCGGAAAACCACGCGTGCCAAATTGGAACTTGAACTGAGCCAAACGTTGTCGCGAGATGTGTCTCGGAGCTCCTATCAAATGACTCCAACCGTCGGTCCAAATTGAATACGGATTTTTTTACGCGAAGACAATCGAATCAAAATTCGTCCAAACTTGGCATAGGGTTTTTGTGATGAAGGAGGTGCTTCTCGAGCAGGTCGACAGAGAGGTCAGTGGGGTCAAGTGCGAGAAAGTGGTCCCTGACAGCGCGAAGAGAATCAGGGAGGCGGGTGACTATGAAGTAGAGAGGGATGTACATCGGGGGCGGGTTCCTGTCCAGGAACTCGGCTGGGAGGGCAGCGCGGTAGCGAGCGTCGCTAGCGCAGAGGTGGGTAACGAGGTCCTCGACTGTGGCAAAGGCTGACAGCTCGGGAAACAGGTAGGGCAGTATAAGGCGGCCGAGAGCAGCAGAGGCAGGGGAAGAGTAACGAGCGACTACAGCTTCGTACAGGGATTTGGCAGTCTTTTGCTGGCCAACGTGAGCGCGTTCGGCTAACGGCAGGTGGTTGCGAATGGCTAAGCGAGCAGCAGCGTCATGGGTAAGCCACTGTGAGCGAGTTGCACTGTCAGCTGTGGTGGGAGGGGCGAGAGAGGCTCCAGAGGTGTGGTCAAACAACGAAACGCTATCTCTAGAATCGCTCAGTAGGTACAGCTGTAAGTCGTCGAGCCACGTATCGAACTGGATCGGACGGCCCTCATGATCAAAGGTGAGTACACTAAGAGAAGCCATAGCGGGCAGAGCAGGGTGGCGTGCAACCAGCAGGGCGGCACGTAGGCAGGGCGGCGCGCGAGCACTAGAGCTATAGAGCACTAGAGGAGGGCGCAGGGAAGGGCAGGGCGGTTCGACTGCCAACAGGGTGACGTGCGGGCAGCAGGGCGGCGCGCGGGCAGAAGAGCAGGGCGGTTCGACTGCCAACAGGGTGACGTGCGGGCAGCAGGGCGGCGCGCGGGCAGAAGGGCGTCGGCCAGCAGGGCGGCGCACAGCAGGGCGGGCAGCAGCAGGGCGGCGCGGGCAGGAGGGCGCCGGCCAGCAGGGCTGCGCGCAGCAGGGCGGGCAGCATCCGGGCGGCGCAAGCAGCAGGGCGGCGCGTAACAGGGCTCTGCGGGCAGCAGGGCGCCGGCCAGCAGGGCGGGCAGCAGCAGGGCGGCGCGCGGGTGCAAAGGGCGGCGCGCGGGTTGCAAGGGGCGGCGCGCGGGCTGCAAAGGGCGGTGCGCGGGCTGCAAAGGGCGGCGCGGCGGCCAGCAGGGCGGCGCGCGGGCAAGGCAGGGCGGGCAGCAGCAGAGCGGCGCGCGGGTTGCAAAGGGCGGCGCGCGGGCTGCGAATGGCGGCGCGCGGGCTGCAAAGGGCGGCGCGCGGGCTGCGAATGGCGGCGCGCGGGCTGCAAAGGGCGGCGCGGCGGGCTGCAAAGGGCGGTGCGGCGGGCTGCAAAGGGCGGTGCGGCGGCCATCAGGGCGGCGCGACAGGCAGGGCAGGGCGGGGCGAGGCAGCGCGACTAGTGGGGCAGCGCTATTCGGTGGGCCTTAAAGAAAACGGTCTTGGAACAGGACCTGCTCTGATACCATGTCATAATACTGAACGAGAAAAAGAATGAACTATGAATGAGTTGGTTACAAGTACTGTTAGTATACTTTTCTTTTTGTTATAGTGCTCGATACTTCAGAAGCGTAAACTAAATGTTTCCAACATGCTGTAGTGGGCCCTTTGCAGCCCGCGCACCGCCATTCCTCTACTGAGTACAACACTTTAGGTCAAACCTAGTACTTGTGCTCATTCTTAATTGCTATTCAATCATTCCTGCACAGTTGATTCTGACACAACACTGATCGTAAGGGTTGCTAAAAACAAAAAATTAGCCCTGATATGAACCAGGAAGTGGTAGAAGAATTCAATCAAATGAAGAAGTGTCAGAACTGTATTGTCAACTGACCAGCAACTACCGATTCCAAATGCAGCATACGCAATCAGAGCGAAACTCTGTAGCGCAAAATATCACACCACACAAAAGCCTCGGGGTTGTGCTTCCCATTCACATCCAGCCTCGAGGTTGGAATGCAATTCCTCGAGATCTCCTTCCCTCATCACGGCACCGTTCGGTAGCAGTCGAGATCTAGCAAGCAGAATAAATACCTCGAACAGTCTAGAAGACTAGGGTACCTTCAGCAGTCCACGAGCCACGTTTTCTGACAGCATCTTATCACCGTGGGTTTCGTTAGCGCGTGTTTCACGGCTACTTTCGTCAGCGCTTTTTACGCTCATACTGGGATCTCTTAGCAGTACACAACATTTATGCCATCTAAGAGTTCTGACTCAGTGTTTTAGCGCCCTGAGGGTTCGAGAGAACATCGTAGCGACTATTTCTTAGCGACTATTTCTCAGTCCGCAGCAGTGAGCATCAATAGCATCATCAGCAGCAGCACCAGCAGCACCACCAGCAGGAGCCGAGATGCATCTCTTCGTTCGAACCCTAGGAGGGACCACACTCTCTCTACAGCTCCCGGATTCCGCGCGAGTCGCGGATCTTAAAGACCTATTGGCCTCCAAAGGCGGTCCCGCCACCACTTCCCGCCAACACCTCCTTTTCGAATCGCGCTTGCTCTCCGACGATGCCGCGCCGCTCGCGTTCGTATACGCGTCACGACGCGGCGATCCACGTCAGCATTTGCTTCCGCTTCGGGACCTGACCGTCCACCAGACTTTTTTCCTGCCCGGAGGTGCGCCGCAGCCCACGGTTCCGCGCCCGAAGCTCAACTTCAATCAACGACCGCCTCCTAACTATGTCGCCGGTCTCGGTCGCGGCGCGACGGGTTTCACCACGCGGTCCGATATCGGTCCCGCGCGGGCGGCGCCGGACATGCCGGACCGCAACGCGGCGCCGCTGGGCCGCGGGAGAGGCGCGGGAGGGGGAGCGGGGGGAGCGGAGGAGGAGGAGGAGGAAGAGGAGGAGGAGACGGGGAAGGAGAAAAAGGAGGTTAAATACGACGAGCATCAGAAATTCGACGAGTTTGAAGGGAACGATATGGGGCTGTTCGCGACGGGGGAGTATGACGAGGATGATAAAGACGCGGACGCGATTTGGGATAGCGTCGACGAGCGCATGGACGATCGGCGGCGCGACCGGCGCGACGCGCGGCTGAAGGAGGAGATCGAGAAATACCGCGCTTCGAACCCGAAAATCACGGAGCAATTCGCAGATCTGAAGCGCGGGCTGGGCCAGATGTCGACCACTGATTGGGACAGCATTCCGGAAATCGGGGACTATAGCTTACGGAACAAGAAGAAGCGGTTTGAGAGTTTTGTCCCTGTACCGGATACGCTTTTAGAGAAGGCGCGGCAGGAGAAGGAGCACGTGTCGGCGCTAGATCCGAAGGGGAAAGGGGCCGTTTTGGGCGGCACTGAAACGCCATTCGCATCGCAAACGCCCGTTACAGATCTGACGGCTGTGGGCGAGGGACGCGGAACCGTGCTGAGCCTGAAACTGGACCGCCTCTCTGACAGTGTAACGGGTCAGACTGTAGTGGATCCGAAGGGGTACTTAACGGATCTTAAATCCATGCGTATTACCTCGGACGCGGAAATTTCGGATATTAAAAAGGCGCGCCTCCTCTTAAAGTCGGTGATCCAGACAAACCCTAAGCACGCGCCCGGGTGGATAGCAGCGGCGCGGCTGGAGGAACTTGCCGGAAAGCTTCAGGCCGCGAGGGGGTTTATTCAAAGGGGTTGCCAGGAGTGCCCTAAGAACGAGGATGTGTGGTTGGAAGCGTGTCGCCTTTCGTCTCCTGACGCGGCTCGAGCCGTGATCGCGCGGGGAGTCAAGGAGATCCCGACATCTGTCAAGCTCTGGATGCACGCCGCTCGGCTGGAGAAGGATGACGTGGCAAAATCCCGCGTTTTAAGGAAGGCCCTAGAGCACGTTCCGGACTCGGTTCGTCTCTGGAAAGCCGTGGTAGAACTAGCTAAAGAGGACGACGCGAGGATTCTTTTGTCCCGGGCAGTTGAATGCTGCCCGTTACACGTGGAGCTCTGGTTAGCACTGGCGCGTCTAGAGGTCTACGAAAACGCCAAGAGGGTTTTAAATAAGGCTAGGGAGGCTTTGCCTACGGAACCGGCTATCTGGATTGCTGCTGCTAAGTTGGAAGAAGCGAATGATAATGAAGGGATGGTGGGGAAGATAATAGAGAGGGCAATTCGGGGGTTGCAGAGGGAAGGGGTGGTGATTGATAGGGAAGCGTGGATGAGGGAGGCTGAAGCAGCGGAGAGGGCAGGATCGGTCACCACGTGTCGCGCTATCATTCGCTCGACGGTCGGTATGGGGGTGGAGGAGGAGGATCGGAAACGAACCTGGGTGGCAGACGCGGAGGAGTGTATCAAAAGAGGCTCGGTGGAGACGGCTCGGGCGATTTTCGCGCACGTGCTGACCGTTTTTCCGGGCAAGAAGTCGGTGTGGCGGCGGGCAGCCCAGCTGGAAAAAACGCACGGGACTCGCGAGTCATTGGACGCGCTGCTTCGCCGGGCAGTCACGTACTGCCCGCAGGCCGAAGTTCTGTGGCTCATGGGGGCAAAGGAAAAGTGGCTAGCAGGAGACGTTCCGGGGGCGCGAGCTATTCTCGAGGAGGCCTACGCTGCAATTCCGGATTCTGAGGAAATCTGGCTCGCTGCTTTTAAGCTAGAATTTGAAAACAGAGAGCCGGAGCGGGCAAGGAGGCTGCTTGCAAAGGCTAGGGAGATGGGAGGGACGGAGAGAGTTTGGATGAAATCGGCAATTTTAGAGAGAGAGGTTGGGGATGTGGAGGAGGAAAAGTTTTTGTTGGAGTCGGGGTTGCGGCTCTTTCCTGGGTTTCATAAGCTCTGGCTCATGCTCGGGCAGCTGGAGGCTCGGCAGGGCAGGACCGGGGCTGCCCGGGAAATTTTCCAGCGCGGGCTGAAAAACTGCCCGGCAAGTATTTTCCTCTGGCTGTGCGCGGCGAAGCTGGAGGAGGATTTAGGTGCGGTGAGCAAGGCTCGGGCGATTCTGGAACAGGCCCGGCACAAGAACCCGCAGACGCCGGATCTCTGGCTGGCTGCGGTTCGGACGGAGGCTCGGGCTGGGAACAAGAAGGCCGCCGAAGCTACCTTAGCTAAGGCACTCCAGGAATGTCCGAGCAGCGGGAGGTTATGGGCAGAAGCAATTGAAATGGCACCGCGACCGCAACGGAAATCCCGCAGCGTTGACGCTTTGAAGAAATGCGATCACGACGCTTATGTGGTTGCTGCGGTGGCCCGTCTTTTCTGGGCGGATCGGAAGGTCGACAAGGCTCGGAACTGGTTCGGCCGAGCCGTGACTCTAGCACCGGAAGTGGGGGATTTCTGGGCACAGCTGTGGAGGTTTGAGAAGGCGCATGGGAGTGAGGAGCAGAGGGGGGAGGTGGTGAGGAGGTGTGTGGCTGCTGAGCCGAGGTATGGCGAGGCGTGGACGAGGGTGGCTAAGGCGGTGGAAAATGCTCATCTGTCAACCGAGGCGCTGTTGAAAAAGGTTGTGTTGGCGATGGATAGGGAGGAGGCGGCTAAGACAGCTTCTGGTGCTTCTTCTGGTGCTGCTGCTCCTGCTGCTGCTAACAGTGCTCCTGCGAGTGCGAATGGGTCTGCTTCTGCTGCTGCACCAATGGCTATGGATGACTAGCTCTCTTCCCAGAAATGAGCGTGGCTAAGACAGTGGAGAATGCTCATCTGTCGACTGAAGCGCTGCTGAAAAAGGTTGTGTTGGCGATGGATAGGGAGGAGGCGGCTAAGACAGCTTCTGGTGCTTCTTCTCTTAGTGCTGCTTCTGGTGCTGCTGGTCCTGCTGCTGCAAACGGTGCTCTTGCAAGTGCGAACGGGTCAGCTGCGCCAATGGCGACTGATGGGTAGTACTGGTAGCTCTCGCTTGGGGAGGTGTGGACGAGGGTGGCAGTGGATGGTGGATGGGAGTGGCTCTGAGGGATGCATGGACGAGGGTGGCCAAGGCGGTGGAGTATGCGCATCAGTCGACCATGGCATTGGTGGTACTGTCGACAGGGTGGTTCAGGCAATTTCTGGCACCTGCTGCTTTGATTTCAGCTGCTGATAAAAAATGGTGATTAGACATGAATGAGCTGGCGAACTGTTTCGTACTTGGCTTGGTTGCTTGGGTCTGGTTGTTTCAGTTGCTGCAGGTTTCCTGCTGTGGTCTAACTAGTTAGTCGTGTAATCTTACTGCACCAGCAGCAGGATCAATATTCCTAATCTGCTAAGATATATCTTGTAGCATCCACTTCTCTGGTTCGACTGAATAATAATATCAATGATTCTCTGGGATAGCTCTATAGCGCAGTCGAGGGTGTTCGAAACCCTGGGATTTTCGGCTGCAGTTTCGTTTTCTTGGCGGCTGCGATTCCACCATCGATGAACGCGAACCAATCAATGGTGCATGTCAACCTCGGTGCCCCAGCATGTCTTGCTCAACCGTCGATTACTTTCTCGCTAACACAACAATCAATCGCAGCCACAATCATCGACATTATTACGCTCAGGCCAGTATGAGCCACATTGCTAGATACCTCTAGTCTAGTCAGAGATACGCCTTAGTGTGGTCGTTCAGGCAAACAATAATCTACGCGGTGGATCGTGGACGGGGGAATCTTGCAGGAAACATTTTTTTTTCCTGTTTTCAGTCTCGGCCGTCGATGGTCATGAAACGATCATGTGAATCCAGCTATGGGGGAGAACCCCGCAATTCCCGTGCCGGCGAGGGTGATAGTAACGGAAGAAGCAGGGTAACGCCCGGCGAGAGTGGCGGTATCGGGAGTACTGGCGCTACAACTACTCCAGAAACCGATTCTGTAACACCAGATGCTAACCCTGTAACCGCATCAACTGACAATGTAACTCAAGCAAGTGACGATGTAACGCCAGCGGCACACTCGCAGTCAGCAGAAGCAGCAGCAACTGTCGGTGCTACAGCCACAACACCACGTGGGAATAACGCCTCGTCAGCAAGCAGCAACTGTGCCGCTGCACCGGAGACACGGCAGGGATCAGAATCAGCGCAAAGAGCAGACGCAGCAAGGGGAACGGAACTTGGGAACGGAGCGGAGTCAAAGAAGGAAGCGGAACCAGTCAAGGGAACGGAACCACAGGAGGGAGCAGATTCAGGGAAGGTACCTGAAAGCTTTCCCCCTGTGGGATTCGACAGCGCCACCGGCGTGTGGCTGCTGACGTCAGAGGGCGAGACGCTTCAGATGGACAGACGCGTCGCCGCCTTCATCCCCTTCCTCTGGCAGGCCATGGCTCAGAAGTCATCCCAGGCCATGGCTCAAAAGTCATCCCAGGCCATGGCTCGAGTCAAAACGGAGAAAGGACATTCTGACGAGGGTGTGAGAGGGAAGGGAGAAGGAGCGGGCGTGGGTGATGTTGCTAAGAGGCTGAGTGATTATTCCGTCATTGCAGCTGCTGGTGCTGCTGCTGCTGGTGCGGTTATCACTGATGCTTCTGGTGCTGCTGGTGATACTGTTGCTGCTGCTGCTGAGGCGGCTGGTGGTGCCGCCGCAGCTGCTGCTACTGCCAATGCTGCTGGTGCTGGTGCTGCTCCTGGTGCAGCCGCTGCTGCTGGCAGTGGGGGGGGATCCCAAGAGTCGTCACCCATTCTTCTCCCGAAGCAGGTGTCAGCAGCGGTGCTGCAGCTGGTGGTGGAGTACTGCCGCTACCACAGCGTGCCTGGACGCTCTGACAAGGTGAGAGGGAGAGTATGACTGGGAGTGAGAGTGTCTATTAGTGCGAGAGAGTGGGGGCTAGTCCAGTGATTCAAGCGCTGTTGCAGCTGGTGGTGGAGTACTGCCGCTACCACAGCGTGCCTGGACGCTCTGACAAGGTGAGTCTGTGGGAGTGGGAGTGAGAGTGAGAGTGATTGAGAGTGTGGAGCGGACCCAAGGAGGTTGTTTGACGAGAAGTTTGTGTGTGCGGACCCACGGAGGCTGTGCGTGCGAACTGAAAGGCTCCTCTCCTCCACCCTTGCCCATGCTTCGCTCACGCTGCCTACCACCCCCACCCCCCATCGCCCCACCCACCCCCCCCCCCCCCCCACTTTCCCTCCAACCCTAAAAGGAAAGGGGCTCTTTGAAGAGAAGTTTGTGTGTGCGGACCCGCGGAGGCTGTGCGTGCTGCTCAGAGCTCCCTCTCCCCATCCCCCCTTCCTCTCCCCATCCCCCCTTCCTCTCCCCATCCCCCCTTCCTCTCCCCATCCCCCCTTCCTCTCCCCATCCCCCTTTCCTCTCCCCATCCCCCCTTCCTCTCCCCATCCCCCCTTCCTCTCCCCATCCTCCCTTCCTCTCCCCATCCTCCCTTCCTCTTCCCATCCTCCCTTCCTCTCCCCATCCTCCCTTCCTCTCCCCATCCTCCCTTCCTCTCCCCATCTCATCCCCCCTCCCCCCCCCCTCCTCTCCCCCTTTAAAGGAACGGAGGCTCTTTGACGAGAGATTTGTGCATGCGGACCCGAGGAGGCTGTGCGAGCTGAAAACCCCCTCTCCCCATCCTCCCTTCCCCTCTTCATCCAATCCAAACACTCCCCCACCTCCCCCTCCCCTTTCCCACCCACCTTCCCCCCTTTCCCTCCCCTCCCTGCCCCACCCCCTCTACAGGAGCGGAGGCTGTTCGACGGAAAATTCGTGCGGGTGGATTCGAGGAGGCTGTGCGAGCTGAAAATCCGTTCGCCTTATCCCTCCTTCCGCTCTCTTACCGTCCAACCCCCCACACCCCCCCATCCTGCCCCCCCCCCCCCCCCCCCCCCCTCCCCCCCGCTTTCTCGTCACGTAACAGGAGCGGAGGCTATTTGATGAGAAATTCGTTAGAGTGGATCCGAGGAGACTGTGCGAGCTGACGTCAGCGGCGGATGTGCTTCAAATGAAGCCTCTGGTGGACCTCACGAGCAGAGCACTGGCGCGGCTAATAGAGGGCAAGTCGCCTGAAGAGATTAGGGAGACGTTTCACCTTCCGGACGACCTCACAGAGGTTCGTCTTGTGGGAGAGAAGAGTTGGTGTGGGGTAACTGGGGGGAGTAATGAAGCCTCTGGTGGACCTCACGAGCCGAGCACTGGTGCGGCTGATAGAGGGCAAGTCCCCTGAAGAGATTAGGGAGACCTTCCATTTGCCAGATGATCTGACAGAGGTGCGTGGTGTGGGGGGTTGGAGAGAGGGGGAAAGGAGGGGGAGGGGCCGGCGGCCCTCTGTCACCTCAGGAGCCAGGCGCTGGCGCAGCTGATAGGGCCTGAGGAAATCAGTTCGACGTTTCATCTGCCAAATGGGTGAATGGGTGGGTGAGTTTTCATTCGACGGAGGTACGTGAGTGGGTGGGTGGTGGGTGGTGGGTGGGTGGGTGGTGGGTGGTGGGTGGGTGGTGGGTGGTGGGTGGTGGGTGAGGAGAAGCTGGAGGCGGTTTGGAGCGGCACGGACGATGGACAATGTTTGGCTGTGCTCATAGGATTCTACCCGCCTGCCTCACTATGCTGCTCCCCCGCCCCGTGGGTTTTCTAACTGCAGGAGGAGAAGCTGGAGCCAGTAAGGAGTGGCACAGATGACCCTCGCATTCGGCTGCTGAACCGGCTGTATGCGAAGAAGAGGAAGGACCTCCTGAGGAAAAAGGTACACACAAATGACTTGGGTAACTTTTGTGCCTGTGCCTGTACGTGTGCCCGTGCCTGTGCTTGTATCTCGCACGGACGATTCTCGCATCCGGCTGCTGAACCGGCAGTATGCGAAGAAGAGGAAGGACCTCCTGAGGAAGAAGGTACCTTTTTATATTTTTGAGTCGGCTTAAAAGTTGGTAAAGGTAAAGTGAACTGCAAAAGATGGCTGGCGGTTCTTGATGTGTGCGCCTGTCCTGTCCTGAGATTTTCAAATAGTTAAATAAATAAATAAGCAAAAATATAATAATAAAAAACAAACAAACAAACAAACAAACGCTAAGAAGCTCTAAAAAATCCTCAAAATCCAGCTCCAAATCGTTCTTTATGCGTGCTCCTGCCTGCCCCGTCCTGTGTGTTTTTCATATCTCTCTGCCTTTGACTGTCTCAGGAGCACTCACACTCGAGCTCTCACTCTGTAGAAGACGAGAACGGGGACGAGGAAGGAGGAGGAGGGAAGGCTCGAGACGGGGAAAGGGGAAGCAGAGAGAAGGAGGCAGGAAGGAGTGGGGAGAAGGAGAGGGAGGGGAAGAGCAGGGAGAATGGAGGGGCACGGGAGTCGACGCACAGGCACCACAAGGAACGATTGGTGGATGAGAGATCGGTTGACGACCTTCTATCGTTCATCCATGGGGGAGGTGAGTGTAAGGGCTTCGGGGTTTGAATATACCCAAGGGGCAGGAGAGGGGAAGCAGAGAGAAGGAGACAGGAAGGGGAGGGGTAAACGAGAGGGAGAGGGAGAGGAAGGGCAGGGAGAGTGGAGGGGTGCGGGAGGCGATGCACAGGCACCACAAGGAGCGATTGATGGATGAGCGATCGGTTGATGACCTTCTATCACTCATCGATGGGGGAGGTGAGGCTGGAATTTGGTGATACTCATTGTTTCGTGAGACTCAGACAGACAAAACCGTGTGGTGTGGTGAGTTCCAAATGGTGGATGGATGACCTGCTGTCCTTCATTGATTGGCCAGGTGAGATGATTTCTCTGATTGACTCAAAAAACACAAGGAAGGAGTGTTGGGTAAGGAATTCGTGGATGATCAGAGCAGTGGGTGGCCGCCCTGATGTCGTTTTCAGGGAATCTAGGTGCATAAGGTTTTGGCCTTAGAAAGTTCTCAGTTCTTTTGTTGTCCATGCGTGCTTGTTGTCTCATGCTGAGTGTGTCTCCCTCTCTCTCTTTCCATATGCAGCGACTTTTGAGACGTCTTAGAAGTCACATTTTCTGTCTGCTTCCGTGTGTCCTTATCTTTCTCTCTTTTCATGTGCAGAGAGTAGTGGTAAAGACAAATCAGGGAGGAAGAAGAAGAGCAGGAAGAAGACGGAGAAAACGAAGGTGTGTGATGCGGTGGGATGGGATGGGATGGGATGGGATGTTCTCCTCATCTACCTACAACGTCCTTCCTTACCTTCATCTTTCTTTGTCTTCTTTCTCCCTCCGTCATGTCATCTTCATCTCTCTTCCCCCCTTCTTACCCTTCCTCCCCGTTTCCCTCAGTCCCCTCGCCCTCCAAATCTGGACAAAATCTGCCATCCAGCCTCGGGAGACGTTGCCAGTCAAGACAAAAGCTCCGGAGGAAAGGGGAGTGGGGTGGAGGAAGAGGGAACAGAGGAAGGGGAGGGGGAAGAGGGAACAGAGATAGGGGAGAGGGAAGTGGGTAGCAAGGAGGGAGTGCGTTTGGTGGATACTGATGGGGTGATGGATGGTGGTGGTGCGAGCTCGCTCGAGACTGGCAGGAGAGGTGGTGACGGGGCTTGGCATGACCACAGAGGGAGGAAGGTGGGTGACGAGGGGCTGGGGGGAGGTGGTGAAGAGAGGGCGGCTGGAGAAGGGAGGGCTGGTAGAAGGGGTGGTGGTGACAGGGCTTGGCATGACCACAGAGGGAGGAAAGTGGGTGAAGAGGGGTTGGGGGGTGGAGAAGAGAGGGTTGCAGCTGCAGCAGCGAGGGCAGCCACAGCTGCAATGGGTGCAGCAGCAGGAGCAGGAGGAGGAGAGGAGGGAAGCAATGCAGTAGGAGTGGATGTAGTAGCAGTGAGAGAGGAAGAGGTGGCATGCACTGGTGGGCAAGAGAGCAGAGGAGAGGTGGTGAAAAAGGTTAAGACTCCACGGCAGGCTAGGAAGGTGGCAAGAGAGGGGCAAGAGGAGGGGAATATTGTTAAGGAAGGGATTGGGGAAGTTCAAGCTATAGAGGGAGTAGGGGAGGGTAAAGGTAGAGAGGGAGGGGCGGAGGGGAAGGAAGGAAAGCACAGGAAGCAGGAAAATTCAGGGAAGGTGACTCCTCGGCGCAAAACTGCTGCAGCAGAGGCTGCAATGCAGGCAACAGCTGGGGTGACTGTATCGAGCTGTGATGGTATGAAAGGAACCGAATCCAAGACAGTGGAGGTGACAGGAGAAGGAGCAGCACGAGTTGCATCAGAAGGAGCAGCAGCAGCAGAAGGAGGAGCAGCAGAAGGAGCAGGAGCATCAGCAGCAGAGGGAGGGGCAGCAGGAGGAGCAGCAGGAGCAGCAGGAGATGCCACAGTAGGAGGCTCAGAAGCGTGTGTTGTTGTTGAAGGCTCTCAATCCCGCAGCCAGGGAAACTCCAGCCGTGCCAGTACCCCTGTGTCGAGTTGTGTCCACACCCCTGTCTCCAGCAGCTCGTCAATCTCAGTGGGAATAGGAGATGATCTGTTGGGAGACGTCACCAGAGGCAAAGATTCTCAATCCCGCAGCCGGGGCAAGTCTAGCCGTGCCAGTACCCCTGTGTTAAGCCGTGGCAACAGCCCTGTCTCTAGCAGCTCGTCAATCACAGTGGGAGTAGGAGACACTTGGACAGCAGAGCAGCAGGCACGGCCACTCCCCTCTCCTGTGAAGACGCCCAAGAAGAAAAAAAAGAAGAAACATTCAGTTTTCCAGCAGCAGCAAGAAGCAGGGCAGGCGGAAATACGACAGGAAGAAGTAGTGCAGCATGGAAAAAGGCAGCAGGAACAGGAGATGGAAGAGCAGCAGGAGGAGGAAGAGGAAGGAGAGGAGAATATAGCAGAGCGAAAGCGACAAGAGCAGCAAATTGCTGGCTCTGGTGATGCTGCTGATGCTGTTGGTGATGTCGGTGGTGCAATTGGCGCTGCTGGTGCTATCGGTGCAGGTGATACTGGTGATGATAATCGTACTGATGTGCATGCTGCAGCGCCAGCAGCGCAGCTGGGCATAGCAGGGTCTGGTGGGATGAAGGGCGACCCAGAAGCAGGGGAGACAGTGGCAGCAGCTGCAGGGGAGACAGCAGCAGGAGAGGCAGCGATAGTTGAGACAGCGGCAGCACCAGCAGCAGTGCTGGAAGCAGCAGCAGCAGCAGAAGCACCAGCAGCAGCAGCTGCAGCAGAAGTAGCAACAGCAGAAGCAGTTGCAGTTGCAGAGGGGCAGGTGAGCAGATCGCATGAGAAAGAAATGGATTTTTTTCACAGCAGCCTGCAATACCCTGTCGTGGCTGCTTGGCATGTGCATAGTCACGAACAGCAGCAGCAGCAGCAGCATTTGATTCGCAGGAACGCACAGGGTGACAGTGCCAATGGGACCACTTCTCACTCTGCATCCTCTGCACCCTCTGCACTCTTCCAAGAGCCGTCCTGGCAACCCTTCATCTTGGGCCCGCAGCAGAACCCAGCTGGTGCCAGAGAAGCAGGCAGAGAGTATAGCCCGAATGCGAAGGCACACACCCCTCAGGACAGCTTGCAAGGCTTTGTACAACGCGGCAGCGGCAACATCAGCGGCAGCATCAGCAGTGGTGGCAGCCGCGGCGGGGGCGGTAGCGGCAGCGGTACCATCAGCAGCGGCGGCGGCGGCGGCGGCGGGAATCCACATATGAGCCTTAACGAAAACAGTGTCAAGCAGTCTCCGCATGACAGACAGTCCCCTCATGCCAGGCAGTCCCCTCATGCCAGACAGTCCCCTCATGCCAGGCAGTCCCCTCATGCCAGGCAGTCCCCTCATGCCAGGCAGTCCCCTCATGCCAGGCAGTCCCCTCATGCCAGGCAGTCCCCTCTGCCGCATCTCCCTCCGTCACTCTACTCCACCCCCCAGCCGTCCTTCTTCGACCTGCCTCTCCACCTGGCCCACCAACACCACCAGCCCTGGATGGCCCGACTGTCTCCTGGTCCGCCAAGTCAATGGGGTCAACCAGGCGTTTCCACCCCGCGTGGTCAACCAGGTCAATGGAGTCAACCGGGCGTTTCAACGCCGCCTGGTCTCTTGGGTCAATGGGGTCAACAAGGCGTTTCCACACCGCCTGGTCAGCAGGGACAATCTGCTCACCTAGATAGTCCAAGTCAACTGGGTCAATCAAGTCAACAGGGCAATACAGGTCAACCAGGTCAACAGGGTCAACAGGGCCGGCCAGGTGTGGAGAATCAAGTGGGGCACAGCAACCACTACAGACACACTTGGCCGCCCTTGGCTGACGACCAGATTCCAATTCGTAGCAGCAGTGCAGGCGGCAGAAGCAGAAGCGCGGGTAATAGCAGCGGCAGTAGCAGCAGCAGCAGCAGCCGCACAGGAATCAGCATGCTAAGCAGCAGCACTGGCACCACCAGCACTGGTACCACCACCAACACTGCTGCTGCTGCTCCTCCTCCTCCTGCCACTGCTGCTGCTGCAGCTGCTTTCCCAGGCGCTCCTGGGTTCGGGTTCCCACCGTTCTCTGCTTCTGCTGCTGCTAGCGCATCTGCCTCCCCATCCCCTTCTCTCTCCCCCGCCGCTTCCCCAGCAGCAGCAGCATCCACAGCAGCGGCGGCAGGGGCAGCGGCAACAGGGGCAGCAGCAGCTCGGGCAGCAGGGGCGGAAAGATTTGCAAGTACGGGCAGCACAAAAGGTTCAGTGAGCAGTGAGGATGCATGGGAGGTTGCCACTCTCCTCCAAACCTTCATCCAACTCCTCCATCTAGATTCACAGATCGAAGTGGTTTTCAAGCAAGGGCTAGGATCGTCTCTCGCCACGTCAGCGTCTTCCTTATCCAGAGGATTTTCGCCAGGTCAGGCAGGTTTTTCTGGAGGGAATGTGATTGGCCAGCGGCCGCAGCCTCGGCGGTCAGCTTCTGCAGCATCGGACCTGGAGGTAGCTTCGGACGCCAGGCCAGGTTCGGTGAACCTGGCGCATCACCTGAGGTCCGGGGGTTTCCTTAGCCTCTCGTTGTCTCAGCCGGTGTTACCAGGTTACATAAATTCGTCTCCTGCTGTTCCTGCTGCTCCTCCTCCTGCTGCACTTGCTCCTCCTGTTCCTGCCTTTTCTGCCTTTCCTGCTGAGGCTCGTCCTGCTTCTGCCGGTCCTGCTGCTGCTCCTGCTGGTGCTGCTAATGAAACTCATACTGTCCTCACTCCTATGGATCGGGCGATTATGGCTGCTGGAGTTCCCAGTGGTCATGCGACTGTATCGAGTGGAGGACACAACAGTCACGTGACTGTATCGAATAATGGGCCCTCGCCTTATAATCACCCCCACCTTCTAGACCACCATAGCCACCGCCATTACCCATACAACCAGCAAAGCCAGGGATATTTGCCTAACTACCCTGACGATGAGCGTACACTTTATAACAACCGTCTTATGCACGGTAATGGGGCGCACAACAGTGGAGGGATGGCAGGCAATCACATGGTTGGAGGAATGGACCCTATTGGCCACTCTCGGCGCAATTC